TAATATATATTATTATGATATATCTGATGAAGTGATTAATAAGATTTTGAACATATTTTAGGTTTAATTTTAATATAATTTATTAAATGTTTAGATTAAAAAATATAATATAAGGTTCAGTTCCTAATACATACTTTAAACAATTAATTACTGATTAGTTTTATATAGTATCTAAACTATAGATTGTTATTTAGTTTATTAACCATAAAAATACTAATAAGTAATCAATAATTTATATCCACTTTAAACCTGTTTCTAATAGTTAATTAATTGTATTTAACAGCCATTATTAAACATAATAAATAACATAAAAAACAAACAAACATTAGTCGCGCGTAATTTGCATTATCTAATCGTTAATTTATATGCGCTGTGTTAAAATAAATTAATAAAATTGCCAAACAGTAATGGGGATACGCAATAACTCAACACAAACACATCTCTGTTGTTTGTGTAAGTTTGAATATTTGAACTGGTTTATCTTATTTTTAAGTTTTAATAAAAATTTTTTGAAAAAATGGTGGATATAAAACCCACTTAATATTTTAATAACTTTAGTCATTTTAATGGTATATATTAATATAATTATAATAATATATATAGTTTGTTGGTGGTGTTTTTATAAATATTTTTATTAAAATTATTTAATTTAAGTTAAATAATTTTTTAGTTCGTAAAATAACAAATATTAGAAATATAATAAATTTGTATTATAATACAAACTTATTATATTTATATATATATTAATATAAATCATTATCAATATTGATAATGATTGATACGATAAAAAACACATTCTATAACTTGTTTGTATAATCTTTTTTATATTAGATGTACATTCAGTCAAAGGTGTCTATTTGTCGTGAATCCAACAGAAAAAAATATCCATTTGTCGTAAATGAGTGAATTTTGTAGTAAATTATATTTAATATTGAAATTTATTTTTTATAAAAAATTTAGTTTTTAATTCAACAAAAGTTACAGATTCGAAAACAAAATATTTAATTGTCGTTTACCCAATTGATTGGCCAGTTGTGCTACAATTAAGAAAGTTCGACAATTATAATTACGACAAATAGACCCTTTTGATTGTAAATATTTGTCTAGAAAAAAGCAAATTTTTAAATATTTTTACTATACTATATTATATTATATAATTTGTCTTGTGAAAATATAAACTATTTTTAGAAATTGGGTTTTGATAATCTATTACAAGTTAAAAATGTAGTTTAAATCATTGAACTATATATATAGTTTATATAATAGTATATTTATTTTTTGAAAAAACACAAATTTGAAACAATGTTATAATACACTGAAAGTACATAAAAATCCGGGCTAATTTTGTTCTTTGATAGTTCATTTTGAATCAAACTCGAATCATTTTTTATTTTTGAATAAAAAACACTAAAAAGGAATAAAAAGAAAGAAAAAGAAACTATAATAACCCGACTTTTTTATTTTTTTTTACGTTCTGGAAGTAAAAAACACAACAATTTGGGTAAAAGAAGAAAAAGAAAATGGGTGCGGGTTTTTCTCCAGGTGTGGGTTTCTTGCCTCACTTTAAATAAAATATCAATAATATAAATTTTCAGTTTGACCTTTTTATCAGGGTTAAAAACGTTATAATATATGATATGGTTATTTTATTATATATTTTATTACCTTTATTTGTTATTAAAATAAACATAATAATAACCAATTTTTATAGCTTTTGTTTAACAATTAACATAAAAATTCTTTTAAGTTAGTAAAAACTATTTATTATAACAATTTATATATTATTTCTATAGTTTTATATCATTATATCAATACATTTTCGATTAAAAACTCGTTAATTATTTCTTGTCAACTATTCTAAACAATTCAAGACTAACTCTCTTTGGTATGTAAAGCTCAATACCGCGTTTACTGTATAAAGAAGAGTTCTCTTAAGATCTGGCGTCATCTCTTAATCGTTTAAAGACTTTTCTGTCGATTGATTCTTCATTCTCGTTCTCTTCAATCATGAGACTATTTTGGCGTTGAAAAATTTCTTTTTCAGTAAAAAACCAATTAATCTTCGAACAATATTTCCTAACTACTTCACACACTACATTCATGTTTTTTTAAAGAAGAGGAACAAGTCCACATGACACAAAAAGCAAACACTACATTTTTAGTAGTGGCTACTTTCTGCCATGAATCAACTATCGAAAGAATTTGCACTGTTGTGTACGATAGGTTCGCGTATTTGTCAAAAGAACATATACGCTTTTGGTTACCAAATATAGATACGTCTAAACTTTGTAACAAATGTGAGCTGTGATTCGGCATGAAAATGAGTTTGACGTTGTTCTTAGTCAACATGGAGACAGCATCACAAGTCAAATGAGAACCAAAACCGTCAAGAATTAATGCTACTGGCCTGTAGTAATTTATTCTTTTTCTTTTGTAATTCAGACTTTTGATGAACACTTCAGACAGCCATTGATCAAACAATGTGGTATTCATAAATGCCTTTTCGGCATGTTTAAGACAGACTCTGTTTTTTGTTATACCCAACTCCAACAACTATTTTTCGATTGTGATTGTAGGTACAATGAAAAATGGAACTTCACTGGTTCCGTCCATACATATAGCTGCCATCATCGTTGTCCTCTGTCCCGCTCTCTCGGTAGGATAATGGATGTCACCCTTTCTAAGTTTGTTAATTACAATCAACGTCTTTTGTGCAGCATCGACCCATCTTTGGAATCCAGTCTCGTCACCATTCCAAATAAATTCAACGGGAATTCCTGTCACGTTAGCTTCCAGATAATTAAAATACAACTCTATTGATTCCCGTGTCACTTCCATTCTTTCTTGTTCCATTTTGTCACCTTTACCGTTGTTATTTTTGAACAATTAGAAGTGAAATGATACAGAGTCTTTATTGTTACATCTTCTCTGTATAACATGTTAACAACGAACCACATCAAGTCGCTGTAATTCACAAAATTGTTATCACTTTCTCTTTTCTCAATAAAAGTGACTATCTTATCGATTTCGTCGTTTTCAAAAGTTGTTTTCTTTCCTAATAAACCAGGAAGACTTTTAAATAATTTAATTTGCCTTTTCTACACGAAGTCTTCACACTGGGTATAAGACCTGAAAAAAATGCCGAATTTGTTTTTTTACTTTGGCGTTTAAATATTCATAGAACATAAACATTTGTATTCGTCTATTTGGTGTTGTTCTGTTTCTTTTCAAATTCAAAAACCTCAATATATGTCCCATTATTTGTTCAAACTCGTCTTCTTTTTGTCTTTTCAGCAAACAATCAAATAATCCAATGCAATCAAAAGAGTCTTCGCTTAACACAGACATAATTTGTTTATTACATTTTTTAGTCTTGTCAATCTCTGTAAGTTCTTCTGATGATTCTCCAAACTTTTCTTCATTACCATAATTAACTTTATCATCATCTAATTCGTCGTCGTTTTGTTATTCGTTAATGACATCATCATTATTAACTAAAATCGATCGTGGAGTTGTGTTATGTTTTGTTGCACTTTGAACATTATCGAGTAAAGAGGTCTCATCAAAGTGTATTCTACCATCATTTGGAAGTGGAACACCATCATGTTCCAAGCATCTTTTCAGCTGTTCAAACTCGTTTCTTGCAGTCTCATATTTTTTAATGTAAAATAGGCATACCAGTATCAACTCTACAATTTTTATTGTTTTATTTATTGTTGAAAACATTGTTTCAACCTTTTCTTTGATTTTGAGAAACCACCCAATGTCTTTTTGAAATGTGTTAATTGCTACGACTATTTTAGTTGTTGCATAGTTTCTAATATTTGTATAATCATATATTGCAGTATTATATCGTGATAAAATTTTATCAGTAAGAAAATCAACGACACCAAATGACTCAGACATAATAGTATTTTTTGGATCGGTGTTGGGAATTGGCATCGAAATTTGTTGAAAATTTATTCCCTCGTAATTGATCTCGTAATTTCGAGAAAAGACATGTAAAGTTTGAGTAAAAGAATTCCTGTTAATATTTATTAGATCTTTTTAATAAACAATTATTTTTGATGCAAAAAACAGTGCTGGAAACTCAGAAATTGTCATTTTAACTTCAATTTAATTTGTGCTAACTAAGGTAATAATCACTTTTTTTGTAAATTTAATTAATAGAATTAATGAAAAATTATTGGTAAAAATTTCTTTGTGGTAAACAAAAATTATTTATGACTTGATTCAAAAAACTAGTTATTTCTAAAAATAGTACAGAGAAAAAACAACGTTTGGGGACTGAACAACGTTGTCCGACTGACTCTATTTGTTGAATTTCAATTTCAAATGAAAACATTCCAAAATCAGTTAGTAGTTTTTTTCTTCTGTTTTATTGGTTGTTTTTTGAATCAAAAATTGTTTTGAGTATTGAATCTTTGTTGCTTTCCATAAAGTTACAAAAATATCCAGGGTATTAACAAAAATAATAAAATATAAATTGAGTGAATTATGTTATACATTTAGTTTAAAAAGTAGTTCTACCAATTTCTTTAATGGGTTTATGTATTTTTACCACTTTATGAACCCATTTTATAATACCAATATTTTTTAATGAAAAAAATTTATGTTTGTCTGTGAAGTAACTATTTTTGAAAAACTCTTATCAAACACTTTTGATCAGCCCAGAGTTTATAAATAAAGTCATATGTTGTTTGCTTTTTAATGAAAATATCACGTTTGGATACAACAAAAAGTTTTGTCATAATATATATATAATCATAAGTTTTCCCTTATCTTAAGTTCTGACTGCATTTATGAGTTAAGTTCTCTCAAACAACAAAACATTTTTGATTGTGATTTATTTTTGGGTATTATGTTTAATTATTATTTTTAACAAAAATATTAGAGCAACATAATTTAAAAAACTGTTTTTAAAAATGCGGGTATCTAAGTAAATTTTAAGGATTTTTTTAAATTTTACTCTAAAAAAACTGAGGCTTTTTTCCTTGTGTTTTTAACAAACAAATATTTAAAACTATATTTGGTAGTAAAAATGACTAACAACACATTTTTGTTTCCAGTGAATATTTATTCTGTTTCTGCAATATTTTTAATGTTTTATGTTTATATGGGTCTCAAAGAACTGAATACAAAAATCACAATGTTCATTAAATTAGTAATCTTCTAACAACAAATCTCTTGCATAAACATTACCATTGTTAGACGTGTTAAGTTTGTCTTTTATTATTGTGTAAATCTTGTTGATTGCAACAAAGGTGGAAATGAATACTTTGTCATTTTTAAATGTATTTCGATTTGAAAGCTCATCAAAATGTATATTTAAATCTCTGAAAAAAACAATTATACAACCCACTCTGTTGTCATATGTATCGGCATAAAGCTTTCTTTTATTGTTGATAACAAGACCATACAAATTTCCAATGTGTTCAGAATCTTTAATAAACTTTGTTTTTCTAAAAGTGTGATCAAGTAGTTTAAAACATTTTTTAACAGAAAAAATAGATATATGTTTAGTGTTAACAAATTCAGTGTTTAAATCTCGGAAACAATCCG